ATCTGTGAGTTAGCCGTGCCCGGACTTAGATCAGCCCAGAGGTTGTTTCAGGGTTTCATCTGTGAGTTAGCCGTGCCCGGACTTAGATCAGCCCAGAGGTTGTTTCAGGGTTCGATCTGTGAGTTAGCCATACCTTGAATTAGATCCGCCCAAACGTCGTAAGTGTTCAATCTGTGAGTTAGCCTTGCCCTGATTAGATCAGCCTAAAATTAAAGCTTCATATTCTGGTTAGTTTACCTCATGGTAGCCACTGCTTCAGTGTATCCATACAAGCTGTGTACATCGTAATGCCTGTGCCCATAATGCTTTGCTGACATGCAAACCGTCTTGCTGTTCAGTTTCCCATCAATAATATGCGGTGTATATGGAGGGTTATCCCATTTGCTTTTGGGGCAGCCGCTAATTGAACCTTCGACAAAGTTCGAAGGTTCATTCATGTCGATCCACAGACCATCGAAAGGAACGACTTGGTGGAACTCAGAGATCTGTGTCTTCCAGTAATCTAATGAAGCTGGGTTGAGGAAATCTGGAAATACTGTGTTTCCTGGCCAAACCTGGACACATTAATTTACGTAAGTTTGTTAATATTATTAGTGTATTTCATGTAGAGCTAAATGCATACTATGTAGAAATGTCATCATTAAACCGTTTTATGATGGTGGTGGTGATGATGATGATGATGGTGACAATAATGTGATGATGGTGGTGATGATGATGATGATGGTGACAATAATGTGATGATGGTGGTGATGATNGATGATGATGATGATGGTGACAATAATGTGATGATGGTGGTGATGATGATGATGATGGTGACAATAATGTGATGATGGTGGTGATGATGATGATGGTGACAATGTGATGGTGGTGATGATGATAATGATGATGGTGACAATAATGCGATGATGGTGGTGATGATGATAATGATGGTGATGATGATGATAATGGTGATGATGGTGGTAATGATGATGATGGTGATAATGATGGTGGTGATGATGATAATGATGGTGATGATGATGATAATGAAGGTGATGATGGTGGTGGTGATGATGATGATGATGATATTGTATATTACCAAAGACTTTTACCTTTCCAACGATAGGTCCACCATTTGTAGAGTTCACAAACACTCCCATCTTTAACCCATCACTGTATGGTTTGTATGAACCACTGGGTTGTACGTTACTAATGCCAGGGTCCTAGGGGTCACAAAAGACAATATAGTCTTATGCTGTTAGGCACAATATTTTCTCATTTAAAGCCATATGTCATTCTCTTGAGTATCATTTCTTTCTTTATTAGAGATGCTTTTCAGCTATGGTGCATTTTTCCCCATTTTAAACCATGTGTCTTTTCCTTGACTATTATTTCTTTCTTTACTTGGAATGCTTTTCAACTATGGTGCAATGTTTTCTAATTACATACCATGTGTCATTCCCTTGAGCATTATTACTCTTTTTACTTGGAATGCTATTCAGCTAAGCTATGGTGGAATGTTGTCCCATTTCAGACCATGTGCCATTCATAATGGCAAAATAATAGTATGCATTGTGATTGCTCCTAACAGTTATCTCATACTTTATAACTGCAAAAAGCATGGACACACATTTTCTATTATCTTTACGATAAACTTACCACGATGGGTATATAATGTTGATTGTACTGAGTTTGTAACTTCTTCACAAAATCTCCAAGGCCACCCCATTTGTTTGAATCAACGGTGAAGTCCAAATGTTCTGCAATGTGTGACCAAAAAATCAGGATTCGCATAATTAGGAAAGGGAGGAGAGGGGATGAGATTAGACAAGACCAGAAGAGAGGAGAAGAGAGAAGAGAAGAGAAGAAATGATGAGACAAGATTAGACAAGGCCAGAAGAGAGGAGAGGAGAGGAGGGGAGAAGAGATGAGACGAGATTAGACAAGGCCAGAAGAAAGGAGAGGAGAGGAGGGGAGAAGAGATGAGACGAGATTAGACAAGGCCAGAAGAGAGGAGACGAGATGAGAGGAGAAGAGAACTGAGAACTTACTTGGCCCATTATGGACACAACATTCTATTGAGAACTGTATGAAGCAATACACTTACACACTGTTTTCATTGCTACGCACTGATTGTTACAACAATAGAGAGATGGAAATAAGGCAATACATTGCTGTCAATGAAATAACCAGTTAGAGTAGTTTTTCATGTACCTTCTTATGGTTGCCATGTACCTTTACATGTATGTTCTCTAAGGAACCGATATGTTTGATTGAGAGCAATGTATTGCCTGATTTTCCTGATGTGACTGGCATGTTGTCTCGATCACCATGCAACAAAGGAAACAGAGGTGTATATAAAAGAACATTTCTTACCCCTCATATACTCAATATCATTCCACTGTACATCCTGCGGTATTCCTTTTGCTCGCATGTTATCATTCACTGTTATAGTGCCATTCAAGCTTCCATATCCCCATCGGCACAGGTGAAAACCAAGGCCCCAATAGGGTGGTAGGAGGGGTCTTCCCACAACCTAAAGACATTAAAAATTGACAATAGACCTCATACTGATACGGCAGCCATCAGGAATTCTATGGGATGCCGAGGGGTCAATTTATTGGAAAATTTATGGTGTGTCAGAATGTCTTATATATAACTTTATGCTTTTCAATGAGAAGCACATCTAAAATGGAATTGAAATTCCCAGTAGTTGGAAGAGTATTTGAAACTCCAAAAATCAAATTATTCGAAAACCTAACTCTATGGCCACCTATGTGTAATATGCTTTAATATTAATATAAATATCTACGTGTTTGCCTCAGCATTCTATAATTCTAGATGTACGCTATTGTATGCAGATAGATAGAGTGTGAATGGTATACAAAATGTTTGAAAAACAGATAAAACCTGAGTGATAAATTTTGATACCTCTGTATACTGTTGTACAACCATTTCTGGTGTTGGTCCCAGAAAGACATAAAAGTCCAGTATTCCACCAATGGATCTGAAGGTGATGGCTGGAGTTGGCTGAAGAATTATTTCTGAAATTATGGTTTTACAAAATAGAACAATTACAATTGATAGAATCTATACTAATACTATCATCACTGGTCATTCATCATCATTTTCATCATCATTATTATCATCATCAACACCAATCACCTCATCATTATGATCATACAGTGTCTGTCATAATCAGTCTTTATCATCATCATCATCATCAACATCATCAACATCATCACCATCAACATCATCACCTGATCATCATCACCATTGCGTCATTATCATCATTATCATCCTCACCATCATCACCGTCATCATCATCATCATTGGATCATCATCACCATCATGTATCATTATCATCATCATCACCATCGATCATCACCATCATCATTATCACCGGATCATTATCACCATCATGTATCATTATCATCATCACCATCACCATCATCAACATCATCATCAACATCATGTATCATTATCATCATCATCACCATCATCATCAGATTACATCTCTAATCCCATGATGCTCTGTGCAATTAAACATTTTAACTTAAAATATTCCTTTAAATGAGTTTCTTACCCATTGCATTACTGTTCAGCAGGAACACTCCGTTAGCATTGCCATCATTCTCAAGAGACAAATAGAAAGGATGTACGCCATAAAGATTGTTCTTGAGACCCTTAGAAAAAAGGAATGCAAAATACATGTCAGTATTTGAAAAACCTGTGGAAAAAGAACATAATAGGTAAATTACGAGCCTTGTATGAAATGACTGAAGAAGGGGGCCAATGGGCCTTTCACAACTTCTATACGCGTAAAAAAATGAGCCAGCTCAACTAGAAACCACGAACAGCTGTTTCGGCCTTTATTGGGCCTCCTCAACACGGTGTATCTAGTGAGCTGGTAGAATCCCATCAAAAAGGAATACATGAGAGGTGAGGTGGTAAACCGTGTGGGAAAAGGATCAAAGTAATTTTAAAAAAAGGGGGAAAAAGTCCTAATTCATCTTGGTGCAATGTTTTCCAATTTCAGACCACGCGTCATTCCCAAGATTATAAGTGGCAGATCTATATAAGGCTGCATGATCATAATATATAGTGTGGCAACTCAAAAAAAAAACAAAAAACATCGATTTATCCCTGTATTGACCATTCCAAGGTACAAAAAACTGGGTTCAAGTTGGCATTGCAGTGCATCGTGATACTGTTTTAGGGGACACTTACCAAGATGGCATCTATTTTGTCCCCTAAAACAGTCCCACTTTGCACTGCAATAATAACTTGCCCAGTTTTTTGCAATGCCTAAAATAATTTAAGGTAATCACCTCTGGGGTTGCAACATCTCTTGAGAAAAGTGTAGCCATTCTCCAGCTGACGTTCAGTTTGAGAGGGTCAACATGTTCACCAATTCCATATAAATTAGAAGATGGAAGAAATGAGGAAATCTGTAAAAACTGATCTTCAAAGATCATCCCACCAGCTGTACTGTTAAAGCTATCAATAAAAAATGTGTAGCACAATTTTAGGATATATTAATTAGCAATTGCAATTTGCAAGGTCAAAGTAAAATCTGGGTAGACCATGCTTCTATTTATGGCAATCTATTGCTGATGGCAGTGCTAATTCTCAATACTGCATGCAGATCTAGATTGAATCATCAGCATAATGAAGTAGGTTTTGATTGATGTCTGTCAGTCACTGTAGCCTGGTGCTGCAACGTTTTTCTTGAATATCAGGACATACGTACATGTAGACCTCTTTACTTTGAGCATCGTCAATAATTTCCCTTTTTAGACCATGAGTCATTCCCTTGAGAATAAGATTATTTGTTTGAGTTAAACATTAAACAAAGAAATGGTACTCAAGGGAATGACACATGGTCTGAAATGGGAAATCATTACACCCAAGATAAAGGAGTCTATTCGCAAAGAAAATGATGGTTATATAAACAAAAGCATAACCAGTCTATGGAGTACTCACACAACAGTTCCAGTGGACTTTCTTGTGACGGCAATACCAAAAGGAAATGTGGTGAAACTGACATCATAGTTTTGAGCTGCACTTTTCTCGCTCACAGAGGGGGTTGGTATTGGTACTTCGTACCTCTTGTTTGCTGGGTCATATATCTGTCATGTGAAATTAATTTGTTCTTTAAATTTAATTCCAGAAAATATCCATTTCTCACCCACATATGAGGATTGGGACTTCCAAGGGGTGGGGAGGGTCTAGTCTCCTGATTGAGGAGAGTATATTGTGTAGTTTCAGAAATCATCAATACCTCACCCATGGAGGGCTATTGCAATATCTCTAATAGCTGGGAGGGTATATTGTGTAGTTGCAGAAAATATCCATACCTCCCCATGGCAGGAAATTGAATTTGCCAAGGCTAAGACAGAGCTTTAAGATAACAGCCAGTCAGTTGCTGGTTATGGCCTTTGGTCATGATCACCAGCCAAATTAGTTTAATCTTGGTCATACCATGTTTCTGGCTCATATTACAGATCAAAATGACTCGCAAGGCAAGGGTTTTCAAGACCCGACAAGTTCCAATTCTGACCAGGCATTGCAATATGACCTACCATTATCTTAAACCCTGTTGAGAGGGTATCTTCTAGGGTTTAACCCAGAGTTTACCTATGGACCCCTTAGCTTGCAGCATGTTGGAATGCAGCTCAATTTGGAGACATGCAATTCCAATTCTCATGAGATTGAAATTCTTTAGTTTTGTCCTCCAAATTGAGCTGCTTTGACATCACATGAAAGGGGTCTATAAGTAGAGGGCAGGGATACGGGATTTCATAAAAGTTAAAATATTTTGATGGTTGCCCCACCCCCAGACATGACAGGCATCAGGATATTGTAACATTGACTCACAAAGATCTCAAATGTAATTTCTTTTCTTCTTCTGTGATTCAAGGATTTTCTCTGCTATGATATAAAATCCATAATTACCTTGAAGTGGAAACGATTTTGATCTTCCAGCAACACATCCACAGCCAGATTCTTCACATCTCCTCCGTAAGGTCCATCGCTTCCTTCTCTAACTAAACCCAGTTTGAAGCCCGTTTTTGTCTCTTCTTTGCTCGCCAACTTGTAGCCATAATTCAAAGGGAAGAAGCAATAAGGTACGTCTAGAGGAGGGTCTGCAATGGAACTAGAATTTGAAGAGATCTTAACACGTTTTTGAGGTTTTGTCAACGTTGCTTTATCCCAACAACAGCCTCTAGCTTCGCATTTCTCAGCTGTTGCGTTGTCATCTGGGAAGCAATCAAATCTATATTTCTCGCTGGGAAGAGTACATTGAGGTTCGGAGTTGATAGATTTGAAAAGGAAGAAGAAGAGCACCACGAGTGCTGCTCTCTTGGAGGACATGTTGGATTATGACTTGGAAAATAATGAAGTCACATGTTTGTCTGATGACAATGTTATTCCGGAAGTGAAAGTAACAACAGACCGGAAGTTTGACTTGCATTTGTTTAGGGAATGGAGGGGGGAGCGAGAGGGGCTGGGGGGAGGTTTTGTAGTGTATTTCCCCCTTATTCCCCCCTTTTCTTTGCACAAGATGCATCGATATTATATTAGTAATCTGTGAACGATATCCAGGGATTGATGGATGAATCGATCTATCTATCAATACCCACTATTGTTATTATCATTCATATTATCTGTCCATGCATTCATCCTTTTTTTCATACAAATACGTCTGTCTCTCCAACCATTATCCACCATTTATTTAAAGTGAAAAAATAACGTCGTTATTTATCCCTCCCTTCCTCCATGCCACCACCCATCCATCCGTTCAACCATTCATTAAAAAGTATATGCTAAAGTTGGCTTCCGTACGACAACAAGAATTAATTTTTATTTTTCATTTTTATTTTTTATCTTTAATGAAAGTCTTACTTTAATATTTTGATATGATTTGATAACAAGAATTTCTCTGGCCGCGGGACACAGAGTGTAAGCCCCGCGAAGAGTCCCGCGAAGACCGGCTACTCAGCAGGTATCCCAGAAGCCAATGCGCTCGTTCTTTAGAGAAAAAAAAAAGTGGCTTGAATTACGACGCCGCTTGCTGTAGCGTTTTAAACTCCGAAAAAAATATTCCTGATTGCTTGACACTGAGGAATTTAATGCACAGATGGGAGACATGCGTTTGAAGACTTCGTATAAGCTGTCTTAGAGAGTTTTTGAACAAAGAAAGGATACAAAACTTGGACGAGGAAGTTCGATTCTTCGGTGAGTAAAGTTTGAAAATACCACAACCTTTTAATTCTATGTAATTTTTAAGGAATTTTATCCAAATTAGGATTCTTTAATGGCTTCTTTTTGTCTCAGTTCTTTCTTTTTCTTAAGTTTCATATCTTTTCGCCTAAATATGCATGAAGCAAAATTAAAATTCTCGGCTTAGTTAAAAGCTGGACGTTGAATTGAAAAAACTAGATTTGTTCAGCTTAACTTCATACATTCTCATCATTCCACTGCAAATGTTTATTTTGTGAAACCGTATTTCCTAGAGTTATCTATACTTCGCCAAACTAAAAATCAGTAAAGCTTCAGAATTTTTACTTCGATAAAATCAGTCCTGTTCATTATTCAAATTTCCCTGGTTGTTGTGCGTGTTCACGTGAAATCACGCACAAAGCACGCCGTGCTGCACGAAAGACGAGATATTACCGCAAAAGGGACTGTGAGCTATAAAATTAATTAAAACCAGCTGCTGTGGAAGAAAGTTAAAAGTTTATTTATTTATTGCTTTAGCTCATGTATCAAAAATAGCAAGACAAAGGCGTTTTTAATGGCAGGCTTAAAAATTAAATCAGCGAGCAAGCAATGAGCGCGCGCGTTTTGGCGCCAAATTGATTTCCCGCCAAAACCACAGGAGCTCCATCAATATAAGCCTTGGTTCAGAGAAAAGCTGCACAGGCTGCACAGGCATTTTCTGCTATTTGATCAGGCATGGAATAAAAATATCTTTTCGTCTCGAAAAAAATATTATAAAGAACGTGAAAATGACGACATTATATTTAAGGGGAATTGGGGTGACGTATTTGTACTAATAGAGAGTTTTAGATTGACTTTTTTTTCTCCCCGCAAACGGCAAACGTGACCACGTTTTCATAGTTTTCCTTTATTTTACTTTACCTTTTACAAACCTTCTCACCAATTGCAAATACTCTTTTGTTTTTCTACTACTTGGACTTTTTTGCGATTCTTTTTCAATAATTTAGAAGAATTTTTTACTGGCCAACTGACGTTTCACGTTTGACGTGAAAGTAAATCTAAAACTCTCTATTGTCTCCCTTCCCCACTCAACAATGGAATTTACATAAAATTGTGCTATTTRGTATTACTAAAGTTTCACGGTTATATTGTTTGCACTTTATTATCCCATTATTTTATAAGTGATCTCCTCTCTCGTCTGATCCTATCCGTGAGTAATTACAGCCTTGTAGACTTCCATCACAAGATTTGGAAAATATTCAAAGAACACAAAGTCTTCCAATAGTTGCTTTCTAATTGGTGTTGGTCTCAGACAAGTGAGCGTAAGCATTTCGTATGAACCTTACCAACTCTACGACAGAGCGAGTATTGTATCGTCTTCTCCTTCTCGTCATCTCGTTGTTAATGGTAGGCATGTGTGCATAACCGCTCGGTCATTCCAATCCCCATACTTGACTATGGTACCAACAACAAAGCTCGACTCCAAGTTGTTCTCTACTGTAGTTAAAGGAAGAGTCCTCTTAGCACGTGGGCACTCAAACTCTGGTAGATTAGCAACAGCACAATCAGAAGATCGACCTTTTTCTTGTTTGACAAGAAGAAAGGATGAGTTTAGGGGACAGCTTATAAAGAATTCTAGTTGGCTTCATATAACGGTGAACGATGTCGTGATCGTGAAGGTATCCAAGTCCCTTGATGATATTTTGACACATGTACAGTTGTTCTCTTACCTGCATTGTAGCTCGGGTGTCTAGAAACTCGTAAAGGTTGCCTTCCATCAGCTCCAAAACAATAAACAATATAAGAAAACTTTTTGTCTTCTTCTACTTCCAAGAAGCCAAATTAGCGAAAAGACGTACATAGTCTACCATGCAGAGCTGTAAGCTTTTCTTCTTTCTCCAAGAGGAATTCTTTCTTCTTTTTTATGTGCTTGATCGCAGCCTCTCTACCATTAGCTCCGTCTATTCCCACAAACACAGATCCAAGGGAGCCGCAGGCCACATGGTTTTTGTCGTTGTACCAAAATGTACCTATAGGTTTAGAATTCCGATACCGCGCGACTTGTTCGAAAACTGAACGGTACCTTTGTGAAATGCGGTGCTAACTTGTCTGTGGTTCAACCTTTCTAAATTTTCCGAAAGATATCTCAGAGCAGGACATTAATCAGCAAACATTAAGCAGCACCAATAAATGCGCAAACCAAACTTTCATTGTTACTTTGTTGAACAGCATAAAGACTCCCATCTTAGACAGCGTTCAACCCCATTGCGCATTTTTTTTTTTTTTTTTGCAATGTTCTTGATTGTCACCAGTCATCATCATCAGCATCAGCATTATTCGGCGTCACTATCATCATCAACATCAGGGGATCCCCCTGATGGATATTTATTCAAACTTGTTTTGTTTCTATTTTTCGCCCCAGTGATAGGGGGCTCAATTCTTTTCCGTCTCAAAAAAAACAATCTTTCCAACTAACATGTCCGTCGTCATGGCCGCGTAAAAAAAAGGTCAACTATTTATAAATATGACTGTATATGCAAATTCACGAAGGATGTTTCTGCACTGTTAAACAAGACATGTTACTTCAAAACTTAGGCGGAAATATAAGCTCTTCATCTTTGTTTTCATCAAAATTTGTAGCTCAAAAATACTCGATTTCAGTCCAGTTCAGTTATTCTATTTATTTTTTTTTTTTTTAAAACCTTCCTGGAATTCTTAGAAAGATAATTAACGTGCACGAGTGGAGATTTTAGATGCGTTTGAAATCGAGCCGCTGGACTACTGTAGTTGACTTTCGCCTTGAAAGCGAGATGGATAGTGTGAATGTATTAATCTTATCACGCTATCAAAGTAATATTATCCAGTTCGGCCAATAGAGGCGCAGTGGCGTTAACTTCGTTCTCTCTTTCAAGTTCAGTCGAATCAAGTTATAATCTTAGATAAAGACAAAATCTTGTTTTTTCTTCGTTTTTCTTCCGCGACAGACAACAACGATTCAGATAGGATCGCATGAATCTGGTAAGTCGAAAAAATTTTATTGTGTAATATTTACTCTACCAAAACTAAATGCATTTGATCAAGACTGATAAGCTATAACAGAACTGGACGTTTAGACAAAGCTTCCAGTTCTGTTATCGCTTATTATATTTTTGATCAAATGTATTTCAAAAAATATTCTCATCAAGTTAATGACTAAATAACCACTTAAAGTCGTTATATTAGTTTCCTCGCTGTATCTTCTATAAAGAAACTTTAATAGCATTTTCTGAAATTAGAAAATCAGTCTAAATTAATGTCCAAATAACGTCGTTAAACCGAAACCTCTGGGCTGATCCAACTCAGGGCAACTGCTAACTCACAGATTGTTAGATCGTGTTAGGCTTTGCTATTTTTAATAATGGTTTATAGTTCAGGGCCAAGTTGTACCAAGCGTGAATAGCGCTATCCGACGTATTTATCCAGGGGATACATTTATTGGATAACAGCATCGACTTATCCACTTGATACGGATTTATCCGCCGATTAAAAATCAATCACACCCTAAATCCATTGTTTGATGTAGGTTCTTCGGAAAACCCAGATTCTTAAAGCCGGGGGCGGAATTTATATCAAAAGGGGAGAACGGGGCTGAATTATAAACCCGGGATAGGTTTTTAATTACACGGATATATTGTAAGCACTCTATTTCCAAAAGAACAAAGCAACAGTAATCTACCTCTCTGAATTCAATATAATTTAGTATTTCGTGTTTTGCATCGAAACAATGGAATTTAGGGCTTAGTTGATATTTTAAACCAGTTCAAACGCACGGGCTCGGTTTTGCATTAGAATTCAAGACAGAGGGCCGCTATCGATGAAGCAGTAGAGTGCATCCCATATATCAATGAAAACGTTTGTAAAATATTGCAGAAATTTGCACAAATGAGTAAGTTCAGTAGACCCCAGTAGACCATAGATGCACTGATTTGCAAAAATTTTTGTTTTGTCACGAGTATATCATGCACTCTATTAATGTGGGTGGTTTCTTTGCGCAGCGGGAATTCGTGGAGTTAAACAGGAAGCTGTTTGTCCTTTGATCCTGTCAATGTAAAACAAACTAATATACAGCTTTTGCTGTTCATTAAGAGAAAATGTACATTCATTTGTGCCAATAGTTGTATCAATAACGTGTAATGTACTTTCATCAACACCACAAGTAACATCATTGGCGCGGATAAACTTTCAATAACGATAATTGAATATGCGTGTACATTCATAGGCATAAATGGACAATCAATAGCGCGTTTGTACATTCATATGCGCGGAATGTATTTTCTTGACAATTTTGACAAACAGTTGTGTTTATTGATAACCATTTACCCAAAAGTGAAGTTCTATTAGTGCTATTAGCATAACCATTGACAATCTATAACGCGTTTGGACAATCATAAGCATCAATGTAGTGGTTCGACAAACATTTGCATAATTCAAATAAACATTAAGAGTCGTCCAGTCATCCATTACGCGTGACCAAAAGTTGAGTATTAGCGGAGCTCCCTCTCGGCCCGCGCGAGCGGAGCACCATACTTAAAGTGCCTATCACCATTCTGACAATATTCACAGTATTAATTCTACATGAGGTAAGATGTTGAATAACACTAAAAAAATATATAGTTTAAGTGCAACTTCTTGAAGTCTTAAAGGTTTTTCCATGCCATATGCTAATGCTGTGACGTATGAGGAGTAATCATTTAATATACAAAACACTACTGGTACAGATAAATTAGATTTGAAATACGTCATTGTTTTCCCCATTGCTCTTATAGAAATGATTGCAAGTTTGTTTTCCCATAGAAGCCGGTGTTTCGAATTTCGAGGAACAACAAATAACCATAAATGCCTCC